AGCAAAATTGAGCACTAACTCAGGGCAATACCAGGGGTGGCTGGGAATCTCACATTCCCCCAAATTAGCCTCTCGATTCTGTCACAAACTCTCAGAACTCATAGGCGTGTGGTTCTGGGAAAGGAAACTAATCAAAACTGCAATCTGGACTGACACAGCCAAACCCGGCGACAGCACCATCCCAAAAGTCTGCTTCATGGGAAGAACATCCATCTGAGAGCAGGGGCCCGAGACCCAAGGCCGTGATGCCAGAGCAGAAACATGATCCTCTGCTGGCCTGTGGGGCTCTGGGAAAGAGCTTCAGCCTCTCGCTCGGTCACCTCCTCACAGGGTCTCCACCTGGCAAATAAGGGAAGGAACTAGCCTAAGAAAAGGGCTGGATACCTTCCTAGTGTTATGAAGCCTTGATATGCCAATGAAAAAGCTCACTGACATCTTTAAATAAAGCGTCTTACACCAGGAAGTCGTGGCTAAAATAGAACTTCAGGGAAAAGTTCCAATCTGAACCTCTTCGCACCTTTGCTTTTCTGAGGATCCCGTGCTTTAAAGCACCTAAGAGTGAGCTGCTAGCTCCAGCAGTATGGTAAAGAATAATGATTTCTGGGGGTCACAGTGACTCATACCTGTAATCCCAGCACTTTGGGAGGTTGAGGTGGGTGAATCCCTTGAGCTCAGGAGTTCAAGACCAGCCTGGGCAACATGGTGAGACCCTATCTCTACAAAAAGTATAAAAATCCACCAGGTGTGGTGCCGTGCAGCTGTAGTGTCAGCTACTCAAGAGGCTGAGGTGGGAGGATCGCTTGAGCCTGAGAGGCAGAGGTCGCAGTGAGCTGAGATCACATCACTGCACTCCGGCTTGGGTGACAGAGTGGAAGCCTGTCTCAAAAAAAATATTATTTTTAATAAAAAATAAACAAACATGAAAAGGTACAGTAAAAATACGGTTTTTTGGTTTTTTTTTAAAAAAAAAGACAATTCCTTCCTTTTTATGAAAGGACACCAAAGACTAACAGGACTCCAGATGCCAGACCAAGTTTGCACTGGCTGAACTCAGTGCGTGCTCCACTCGCCTCCATTCCACCATGAAGCCCGCTCTGGCCTCAAGCACCATCAAGCACTCTGGACTTCTCCATCAATTACAGAAATGATCATCAAAGCTACTGAAATGGACGTTGGCATTTAAAACTTAACACTGGGTTTCTTAAAATGCAACACTGCTTATGGCATGGATAAGGCACACTGTGAGAAAGCCGCCTCCACCCCCAGCACACAGTGCACTCGGCTCCTCACACGTACACACAGCAGACGCCAGCCGACATGGCCCTAAGGCACAAGGAATAGATCCGTCTGGTCAGTTCTGGTTTTGGAGCTGGTTGGAGAGCTAGTGCAGCCCTTTGCAAAGCCCATGTCCACTCATGGCACAAGTGGCCTGAATGTGCCCGTTTCTGTAGCAGAGGGAATGGAAGCTGAGCTTTCTGTTCTCTCTGCTGTGTTCATAGTATTAGGGAGATCCTTGAAAAAGAACATTCAAAAGTCAATGTAAACTATTGTATCCATATAACGAAATATGCTCTTCCCCGCCACAGGTGCCCAAACCCATGGCCTTCTCTCTCTCTGTTGATGGCCACTCCAGACTTCCAGTTGCTCAGGCCAAAAAGCTTGAAATTATCCTGACTTCTTCTCTCAATGTCACAGCCAATCTGTCAGGAACTCCTAATGGCTCCACCATCAAAATTTATCCAGACTCTGACCACTTACTAACTCCACAGCTGTCACCCTGATCTGATGCCACATCACTTCTCACCTGGAAGACTGAAATAACTTCCTAACAGGCCTCCCTCCTTCTCTGCTCCCGCTCCCCTGAAACCTGTTCTCAACCCAGCCATTGGCGAGTCAGATCGAGTCATTCTTCTATCAAAACTGCAACAGCTCCCTTCTCTCAGGGTGCGACTCAGAGTCCTTACCATGGTCTACAAGGCCGCCTGGACCAGGGACCGCACCTAAGTGGCCTGTTCCATCTTTTCAATATGGCACTCACCATACGTTACTACATCATGACATTAACTTATTTAAGTATATTCATAATTGACTATCATCTCCTCTAACTAGAATGCAAGCTTTACAAGGGCAGGAATCCTGGTCTATCTTTTCCTCTTCTGGATCTCAAATGCCTCGAAATGTCCTTGGTACAGAATAAGCTCAAACTAAATTTGAGTAAATTAGCATTAAAGAACAAAGTAGCTGTAGATGGACTGATATGGAAGGACTTCCAAGATATACCATGTGAAAGAACACAATCATACAAATGCTCACACAGGCAGAGAAAGCTGGATCTCTGGAAAGAGAATAAATTTAACAATGAAGAGTAGCATTAGAATATTTCATTTGAATATTCTGAACTGTATGCATATTTATGCCATGAGAATATTCTGTTTTTATAATTGAAACCAGCAGAGTCACCAAGCTCAGCAGCTTACACCTGTAATCCTAGCACCTTGGGAGGAGGTGGGAGGACAGCTTCAGCGCAGGTGTTTGAGACCAGCTTGGGCAACATGGCAAGATCTCATCTCTACAAAAAAATTAAAAATTAGCCAGGCAAGGTGGCCTGTGCCAGTGGTCCCAGCTACTTGGGAGGCTGAGGAAGAAGAATCACTTGAACTTGGGAGTCTGAGGCTACAGTGAACTGTGATCACACCACTGCACTCCAGCCTGGGTAACAGAGAGACCCTGTCTCAAAACAAAACAAAACAAAACAAACTCACACACACACACACACACACACACACACACACACACACACACACTCCAGGTTCATTTTCTTTTTGTATTTTTATTTTTATTTTTTAATTTTTTGAGACGGAGTCTCGCTCTGTCGCCCAGGCTGGAGTGGAGTGGTGCAATCTCAGCTCACTGTAACCTCTGCCTCCCGGGTTCAAGCAATTCTCTTGCCTCAGCCTCCGAGTAGCTGGGATTACTGGCACTCACCACCACGCCTGGATAATTTTTTTCTTTTTCGTATTTTTAGTAGAGACAGGGTTTCACCACGTTGGTCAGGCTGGTCTTGAACTCCTGACCTCGTGATCTGCCCACCTCAGCCTCCCAAAGTGCCAGGATTACAGGCATGAGCCACCAGGCCTGGCCTCATTTTCTTTTTTTAATAGTCATATGTTCACTAGTGCAAACTCTGGACTGACACTGAACCTGAACAGCAGAGTAATGGTTGTGTGAATGATGATCCATCCACTGTTTAAAATCATGTCTACAAAGAGTTGGATAACAAGAGACGATGCTCTTGATAAATCTAAACAGGACACAACATTGTCAAAACAGTATGATCTCAATTACATAATGAATGTACTCATGGAAGAGAAAGTGAAGAGCATGTGACAGTGGTCATCTCAGGCTGGTACAATTCCACCTGGTTATTTCTACCTTCTTTTTCATGCTTAGTTTAGCTCAGAGTCCTGTGGCTGGATAGTTCTCGCCTTGGTCTTCCTCCCACATTTCTTTTACTATATTACATTTATGTACAAGCCCTTTTCCTTCTCCCAAACAGGCCCTATATGATCCAGTCTCCTCTCCTCTCTCATTCTCCCCCACTCATTCTGTTCCAGCTGCACTGGCTGCCATGGTGTCCCTAGAACCATGTGGCTCCCTTCCTCCCGGCCTTCTGGTCTCTGCTCGGATGTCATCTTATCCGAGAGGCATTCCCAGGCTTTCCCACACCTGCCCTGCCCCCTTACTATGCTGGTCCTTCTTCCACAACACTTACCATCTGACATATATTATTATTTTACTCTGTAGTCCAGGATGGAGTGCAATGGAATAATCTTGTCTCACTGCAGCCCTGATCTTCCAGGCTTAGGCGATCCTCCCACCTCAGCCTCCTGAATAGCTGGAACCACAGGTACCTGCCTCCACATCCAGTTAATTTTTCTATTTTTTGCAGAAAAAGAAAATGGGGATTCATTATGTTGCCCAGGCTGGTCTTGAACTCCTGGGTTCAGTGATCCCCCTACCTCAGCCTCCCAAAGTGTTGAGATTATAGGCATAAGCCACCACACTTGGCACATTACATGTTATTTATTGGTTGACTCTCTTCCCACTAGCAACGTAAACTCCATGAACACAAGGATTTTTGTCTGTCTTGTTTGCTGCTATAAACCTAAAACCAAGTCTGAAACTTACTAGATGTTCAAGGAGTATTTACTGAGTGAGTGAATGAATCGAATATAAGACATTCCAGCAGCCAAGCTCTGCCTCACACCTGTAATCTCAGCACCCTGGGAGGCCAAGGTGGGAGGATCACATGAAGTCAGGTGCTCGAGACCAGCCTAGCCAGCATGGCAAAACCCCATCTCTATTAAAAATACAAAAATTAGGCCGGGCGCAGTGGCTCAAGCCTGTAATCCCAGCACTTTGGGAGGCCGAGGAGGGTGGATCACAAGGTCAAGAGATCAAGACCATCCTGGTCAACATGGTGAAACCCCGTCTCTACTAAAACTACAAAAAATCAGCTGGGCATGGTGGCGCGTGCCTGCAGTCCCAGCTACTCAGGAGGCTGAGGCAGGAGAATTGCCTGAACCCAGGAGGTGGAGGTTGCGGTGAGCCGAGATCGCGCCATTGCACTTCAGCCTGGGGAACATGAGTGAAACTCCGCCTCAAAAAAAAAAAAAAAAAAAAAATACAAAAATTAGGCAGGCATGGTGGTGCACACCTGTAATCCCCGCTACTTGGGAGGCTGAGGCAGGAGAATCACTTGAAACCAGGAGGCAGAGGTCACAGTGAGCTGAGATCACACCACCGCACTCCAGCCTGGGCAACAGAGTGAGACTCTGTCTCAAAAAGAAAAAGACATTCCAGCAAGGAGATGGTGGGAGACATGATGGTTAGGACTGGAGAGAGGGAGGAAGACATCTCTTTTAAATGTCTAAATTTATAAGTGAGGCATTTGGCAGTAAATTTTAGTTCCAGCATTCAGAAAGCCAATAACATCATACCTGTTTATTGGCAAATACCAATAAAACTGCATTTCTGAGCTCCTCTTCCGCTAACAAGTCAGTTAGAACTTCCCGAGCCTCATCAATCCCCTCTCTGTCATTACTGTCAACCACGAAAATCAGACCTGGAAAGAAATCATGAGCATGTTAGTGATTTGAGCCTGGAAAAAGCAGCTGCTGGGTCGGGTGTGGTGGCGCACACCTGTCATTCCAGCCCTTGGGGAGGCCAAGGCAGGAGGATCACCTGAAGCTGGGAGTTCAAGACCAACCTGATCAACATGGAGAAACCCCATCTCTACTAAAAACACAAAATTAGCCAAGCGTGGTGGCACACACCTGTAGTCCCAGCTACTCGGGAGGCTGAGGCAGGAGAATCGCTGGAACCCAGGGGGCAGAGGTTGCAGTGAGCCAAGGTTGCGCCACTGCACTCCAGCCTGGGAGACAGAGCAAGACTCCATCTCAAAAAAATAAATAAATAGCATTCTAGGGCTAGCCCCCTAAAGCAAAACTTGAGACAAAAGCTGAAGTGCAGGTACTTTCTTTAGGAAGTGATCCCAGGGAGCAGGAACGAGGGGCTGAGGGAGTAAAATAGGGCAGGAGGGACAGACAATAGAAGAATGAGTTATCAAGCTGGCCCCTGCTATGGGACCAGTGCTCACTATTGCAGGACATTCTAAGAAGCCATATCAAATGCCTGTCAGAACTGTCCACCCAGGGGACAAAAGAGGAAGCAAGTATCCTTCAGTACCCATTCCCTGTTGGTCAAGATCAACTCAACAGGTGTTCGGCCACCCACACTTCTGGGTCACACTGATGTGAACACCAAAAGCGTTCTATGGGCATCTGCATAATAATGAATTTGGTTGGTCTTTGTCCCCAGTTTCTAGAAGGTAGCCTCTAAACTCGTGGACTTTTCAGAGTGATAGGAGTGTCTCTGTTACCATGGTGGGCCCACACCTGTCAGCTTATGCTAACAAGGTGACTCAGGGTGGACTCCTAGATAGTTTATGCTAACCAGATCACCTCTGGGGAAATGAGGGTGCCGGAGTTTGAGTCACATGGCCAATGATTCAATCATGCCTATGCAATGAAGCCCCAATAAAAATGATGAACACTGAAGTTCAGGAGAATATCCCCGGCTGGCAATACTCTATACATTGTCACGCATCTACCTGCTGGAAAGGTAACAAATCCTGACTCCGTGGGGAGAGGACAAGGGAAGCTTTGGGTTTGGTGCCCTCCTAGATCTATGTGTCTTTTCCTTTGACTGATTCATTTGCATCCTTTTGCTTTATTGATCAATTAGTAAAACTGTAATTGTTAGCATAGCACATCCCTGAATTCTGTGAATCAGTCTAACAAATGAGGGGGTTGGGGAAATCGCCAAATTTGTCACCATCTGGCCAAAAGTGATGGTGATCTGAGGACCCCCAAACCTGCTGCAGCTGGTGGCTGAAGTTAGGGATTCTTGTGGAGGATGGTGCCCTCAACCTGTGAAATAAGTCCCAACTCCAAGGGGCTGGTGCCAGAAGTCTCTGCAGCATCCCACACTATCGTATCAGATAAATCCCAGGAAGCAAAAGATACCTGGGGCAGACCAAAGAAAGGCACCACCCCATCACACCTGAGTGAGGGTGACCAAAACTTGTGCAGACCTAGTCACTGCTACATTGGCTAGAGGAAGCTGTGGAGCCAAAAGCATCTCTGGGGAGGGGTACAGGAGGCACCCGACACACCCTCCAAGCACAGGAAGGTGACTCCCTAGGCAGTAGTTCATGTGACAATAATGATAATGCCAATTTGTCTGCCAGGTGTGGCAATTCACATCTGTAATCCCAACACTTTGGGAGGCCAAGGTGGGCAGACCATTTGAAGTCAGGCATTTGAGACCAGCCTGGCCAAAATGGCAAAACCTCATCTCTACTAAAAATGTGAAAATTAGCCAGGTGTGATGGAGCACGCCTGTGGTCCCAGCTACTTGGGAGGCTGAGGTGGGAGAATCGCTTGAACCTGGGAGGCAGCAGTTGCAGTGAGCTGAGATCCCGTCACTGCACTCCAGTGAGCCAAGATCTCGCCACTGTACTCCATCCAGCCTGGTGACAGAGCAAGACTCCGTCTCAAAAAAAAAAAAAGAAAAGAAAAGAAAAAGAAAAATATTTAAAGCTCCCCCCAAATATTTTACATGCTATCAGCAGTTCTGGTCTCTCATCAAAACTAAGCAAGCCAGATTATCCAGAAATTTGAGCTCCTTAGTCAGCAATGCAGAACTCACACTGCATTGTGTGAGTTAATAATACAGGGAGGAAGCTGCTGTATTATCCCTTTGCCACTCCTAATAAAGCCTTGTAATATTAGGTGCCATTTTATACTGTCTTTATATAGGTCCTTACCTAAGAACGTAACATCAGACTGATCCCACATCTGAACTAAGAGAACCCACAAAAAGTGTATTTATACATGAATGGTATACTATTAATGTGTTTTTTAAAACGGGAACATATGAATATAGAGCTGCTGGTATATAAATAAAATATGTCTACACAGATATGCAAGAAATAAAAATAGTTGTCTGCCAGGCATAGTGACTCATGCCTGTAATCCTACCACTTTGGGAGGCTGAGGTGGGTGCATCACTTGAGGTCAGGAGTTCGAGACCAGCCTGGCAAACATGGTGAAACCCCATCTCTACTAAAAACACAAAAAATTAGCTGGGCATGTTGGCGGGTACCTGTAATCCCAGCTACTTGGGAGCTGAGGTAGAAGAATTGCTTGAACCCAGGAGGTAGAGGTTGCAGTGAGCCGAGATCGCACCATTGCACTCCAGCCTGGGTGACAAAGCAAGACTCTGTCTAAAAAAAAAAAAAAAAGAAAAGAAATCACAAACTATTCAAATTCCAATCTATACAAGTGAAACCTACACAGCTAAATGTCTTAATAGAGAGCTAAAAACATTCATTAAATTCTGTCATACTCAACACATTGATGAAGAAAATTTAAACTAAAAGACAGCCTGATCTTTAGAAACTGGCAGGAAAAACAGGGGCTGCATCCAAGACCATTCATAGCAAGTCCATTCTTCCAACAGCTCCCAATTGCTGTTTCATGAAAAGTCCATATCACTCATCCAAGGTCCTAGAATATAGACAGCTCCCTGCCGTCAAAAGCAATAGTTACCAAAACCCAGTAAGACTAGGCTTGTTATGAAGAGAAGGTTGCAGAAATAAAGGCATTTGTTTTATGTTGCTATTTGAATGTGTAAACTCCCAGTAAGGAAAGAAAAAAGAATTCTGCTAGAGGAATGATGAAGTGAAACCTCAAACAATTTGGGCTTTTAAGTGCCTACTGTCATCCAGCCACGAAATGAAGCATTCTACAAAAGTAATTTAAGCCCAGTGACACAGGCAGTAGGTATTATCTCCATTTTAAGATGAGGAAATTGAGACAGACGAGATTACCCAACTCTCACGGTTTCACAGCAGAGCTGGGGTTCAAACCCATGTGTTCTAGTTAGGGTTTGCCAAGTTGTCACATACCGGTCCAAGATAAATAATGCTCGGAGTGTCAAAAATATATATAATCTGCAGTAGATTGAAACATGAAGATACAAAAATCTAAGAGTCACCATGGAAGTTGCTGGGATATCAAGCGGTTTCTCTGAAAATCCATGAAGGAAAACAACGAAGCATTTTTCTGGCCTTTCTTATATAAACTATATTTCAGGGAAACCAAATAATTGATGATGAAATTCTTTGTTTAGAAGGAATTTAGCTAATAAGTGCAGAGGAATAACAAGTTTTAGGTGGGGGGGTGGGGGTGGGGGGGAGAAATCACCGTTTTGTAACTTCTAATAAAATAATGGGTCTAGGCAATAGTCTTCAATGGATGCTAAATCGATTAGGTGAAAGGTTGATGGAGAATTTCAATTTAGGGGAATTAGACTGATACCATCTGAAACCATTTGGCATCATTAAAAATGATGACAACCGGGTGGTTTCCAGGGAGTAGGGGGATGGGGTGAGGGAGGCAACAGGAGTTATAGTTTATGGGTACAAAGTTTCGGTTTTACAAGATGAAGAGCTATAGAAATAAATGGTGGTGATGGTTGCAGAACATTACGACTGAACTATACACCTAAAAATGGTTAAGATGGAGCTGGGTGCAATGGTGCACACCTGTAGGCCCAGCTATGCCAGAGGCTGAGGCAGGAGGATCATTTGAGCCCATGAGTTCACATAGAGACCTCAGGAACCACTTCTTAAAAAGAAACCGGCTGGGTGTGAGGGCTCACGCCTATAATCCCAGCATTTTGGAAGGCCAAGGTGGGCAGATCATTTGAGGCCAGGATTTTGCGAACAGGCAGGACAACATGGCAAAACCCCAACTCTACTAAACACGCAAAAATTAACCAGGTGTGGTGGGCACCTGTAGTCTCAGCTACTCAGGATGCTGAAGCAGAAGAATCACTTGAACCCAGGAGGCAGAGGTTGCAGTGAGCCAAGATCACACCACTGCACTCCAGCCTGGGCAACAGGGCAAGACTCCATCTCAAAAAAGAAACCTTCCCAGTAAGTGTAAGGACACCCTAAGAGAGAGAATGACTGCCAGTGTAAATGGAGCAGAGCACCACCAGGTATCACTTCAAGCATCCATCTTTAGAGACGTTTCACAGAAACAGTATTGAGGCTACAGAGCAAATCATCTTACCTTTCGTGTCCTGGAAACAATGCCACCATAGAGGTCTGAATTTGCAGTGGCTGCCAACATCCCAGACTGTGAAGCTGATGTTTTTATATTCAACCGTCTCCATATGGAAACCTAAATGAAATATGTGGAAAATGTTTAATTATGATTTGTGCTGGTTGAACAATTCAAAATAATTTCAACATGTGGATAGTACTTTTAATTTATAAAGCAGCCTGCTAGTCAAAAAGCTGTAGCCTTCAAAGACAATGTGCTGGCCCACTCTTCCATTCATCAGGACAGGTGTCTCAAACCTTCTAGGCTCTCCAATCTCCAGCCATGCACCTGCCCTTTCTCTCAGCAGGAGTCTATCACAGTGTGCTTCAGATCAGAGAAGCCAGCGATGGGACGGACTTCCACTTCCACCATACAGTGTAAAAGGCAATCTATATCTTCACCCTAGGCGTTTCTTCCTCCCTCTTGGAGCAATAGAAGACAGTAATTCTCGGCCGGGCGCGGTGGCTCAAGCCTGCAATCCCAGCACTTTGGGAGGCCGAGGTGGGTGGATCACGAGGTCAAGAGATCGAGACCATCCTGGTCAACATGGTGAAACCCCGTCTCTACTAAAAATACAAAAAATTAGCTGGGCATGGTGGTGCGTGCCTGTAATCCCAGCTACTCAGGAGGCTGAGGCAGGAGAATTGCCTGAACCCAGGAGGCGGAGGTTGCGATGAGCCGAGATTGCACCATTGCACTCCAGCCTGGGTAACATGAGTGAAACTCGGTCTCAAAAAAAAAAAGACAGTAATTCTCTTCCATAAACTCCCTCCATCTATGAGCCACACCCACTCCACCCAGACTGTCTGGAATCTTTTGCTATTCCTATTCTTTCTCATTTCTGAATATCTCCAATCTGTTCACCTCAGCATGCTTAAGTCTTTTACATCTTTAAAAACGACAAACCCTTCCCTGATCCCCACATCTTCTTCTGCACCCTCTTCCTTCACATCTTCACCCTCTATTTGCTCTTTTTTTTTTTTTCAAGAGATAGGGGCTTGTTGTGTTGGCCAGGCTGGAATGCAGAGGTTTGATCACAGCTCATTGCAGCCTCAAACTCCTGTGCTCAAGGGATTCTCCTCCCTCATCCTCCCAAGTAGCTAGAACTATAAGCACAAGCCACCATACCCAGCTAAATTTAAAAAAGAAAAAAAATTTTTTTGTAAAGACAGGGTCTCACTGTGTTGCCCAGACTGGTCTCAAATTCCTAAGGTTAAGTAATCTGCCCATCTCAGCCTCCCAAAGTGCTGGGATTACAGTTGTGAGCCACCACGCCTGGCCTATTTGCTCATTTAAAGTCAAACGTCTCACAGAAGTGTGGCTACATTCACCGAGCTTTCTTTGGTCCTCTCATGCAACAGCACCTTAGCCCTGCTCCACCATGTAGGGTGGCTGCTCTTCACTAAGGTCGGCAGTGATCACCAGGTCAGTAAATCCAACACAGGCCTTTTGGGTTCTTCCATAATTTGATCTTATATCTGACACTCCTGCTCCCACCCTCCTTGACACTCTTCCCCAACTTCCCTTTTCTATCTCTATTGCTGTACCGTCTCAGTCTTCTTAGTGAGCTCAGCCACGTTTCACTGATCCTGCAAGGATGGAGACTCCCAGGTCTCACTGGCCCCATCGATTCTCCTCTTTCCACACCCCTCCCTTGGCAATCTCACTCACTCCCAGGACTTCATTCATTCCCATCTCCATACTAACACTGAGATTTATAGCCTCCAACCTAGCACTCCTTCTGAGCTTCAGGCTCATCATCTAACAGCTTTGGCAAATGTCTCCAAGGCCCCAAAACAAGGCGATCAGTCAAAAATGGAATTTAAGGTCCCTACTCCCAGCCTCCTCCTCTGCTAGCAAACCCCTCGTTGACTTGGTTCCACAAGCTGATAGCCTGAGAGGTGCCCTGGAAACATCCAGTGCTCTCACCCCTAGGACTCCCCCATCACATCTTATCAATTCAACCTCTTAAACAGCTAATAGTCACCCTAACACAATAGACCATCATTTCTAGCCTCAATTCCTGAAACCATATAACTAATTTCACCTCAGCGACTCTCCCTCTCTTCATCCAGTCACCATCTTCTAATCAAAGCAATCTCTTAAAAAACACATAGTGGGAGGCCAGGTGCAGTGGCTCACGCCTGTAATCCCAGCACTTTGGGAGGCCAAGGCGGGTGGATCACAAGGTCAGGAGTTCAAAACCAGCCTGGCCAATATGGTAAAAGCCTGTCTCTACTGAAAATACAAAATTTAGCCAGAGGTGGTGGTGCACACCTGTAGTCCCAGAATTGCTACCTTAAGACCATCTCATAACTCGAACATTCCCGTCGGTTTCCCCACTACTCAGCTGATGCAATCTCTGCAGCTACTGCCCAAGTTGAAAGTTGATCATTTGGAGACTGGGTGCAGTGGCTCATGCCTGTAATCACAGCACTTAAACGGGTGAATCACTTGAGGTCAGGAGTTCCAGACCAGCCTGGAAGCAATTCTTCTGTCTCACCCACCCAAGTAGCTGTATATTCACACGCCACCAACGCCTAGCTAATTTTTGTGTTTTTTGGTAGAGACAGAGTTTCATCGTGTTGCCCAGGCTGGTCTTAAACTCCTGAGCTCAAAGCAGTCTGCCCACCTCAGCCTCTCAAAGTGCTGGGGTTACAGGTGTGATCTACTGTGCCCAGCCTATTCTTTATTTTTTTAATTTTTAATTTTATTTTTTTGGGAGATTATACTTTCAAGTTTGGAAATATTCCATTCAAACATAAATGTGTAGAGAAATGACATGACCGCATTACGTGGTTTTTCGTTTGTTTGTTTTTTGAGACAGAGTCTCACTCTGTTGCCCAGGCTGGACTACAGTGGCGTTATAGCTCACTGCAACCTCTGCCTCCCAGGTTCAAGCAATTCTTCTGCCTCAGTCTCCCAAGTAGCTGGAACTACAGGTATGTGCCAATCTTGGCAACCTCTGCCTGCCAGGTTCAAACGATTCTCCTGCCTCAGCCTCCTGAGTAGCCGGGACTACAGGCATGTGCCACCATGCCTGGCCAACATGGTGAAACCCTGTCTC